GCATTATTTGAGCCACATGTCAAGACGAGCCACATGGAGTCCTGGATATTGATTTTAAAAAGGGAAATTTGTGTTGATAGTGAAATATTAATTATTTGTCATGATTTGGTCTGGTTTGGTTTTGTTTTTCAGAGTTTAGATTTTCTTGTTTTAGTTTTTCTTATTCTTCACTAGTGTTGCTTGTTTCCCTTGTGTTTCTTTAAATGTTTTCTAGTTTAGCCTTTAGTGTTTCCTGTTTTATTTTGTAATTTGTTATTCTTGTATCTCTCTATGTTCTAGTGTGTTTTATTACATTATTGACTTCTCTGAGTGTCTTCAGTGTTTCATGATTAAACCAAACCAAACCAGACCAAATCATGACATTAGTAATAAAAAACAATACTTTGAATATTTTCTGTTTGCGAGTACGAATTACAATTGGAGCTGCGATTCCCTTTGAAAACAGCATACCGTCCGATATTATTTAAAGCATTTCCGTGTGAGTCAACGTGTAGAGTGAAGGCCCTAAGTTTGACTCGCTCTCTCCCTCCTCTAGGGGAGTCAGATTCTCAGCGGCCTCTCTGCAGAAGATCACAGATCGGTTCTACAGATGATCAAAAGGGCAATCCTCGCCACAGACCTCACCGTCTACATGGAGTACGTTCAAACTTGTAGAGTCTGCAGGTCAAGTTGTGAGCGTGTCATGTTCAATCACTAAAACCTTTATCTTTGTTTGTAGGAGAAGAAAAGAGTTCTTTAGCCTCTCTAAGAAAAGAAAAGTGAACTGGAAGAGCGAGAAACAGAGAGATTTATTGAGGTGAGGATAATATGATGATGATGATATATGATGGAGAGGGAGAGTACTGTACCTTTAAGACATTTCCTCTAACCCCATAGGTCGATGCTGATGACAGCCAGTGACCTCTCTGCTATCACGAAGCCTTGGCATGAACAACAAAGAGTAGGTCTCACTTTCTTTCTTTTTATTAATCTGAACACGTCACACAAAATCTCTCAATCACTCTGAGTTCAGTAACCTTGACCCCTCTCTCTCTCTCTCTCTCTCTCTCTCTCTCTCTCTCTCTCTCTCTCTCTCTCTCTCAACAGATCGCCAACCTGGTTTCCATGGAGTTCTTTGCACAGGGGGACAAAGAGAAAGAAGAGTTCAAAATCAAGCCTGTTGTAAGTCCTGCTGGCTGGATTATGACTTTGACATGTTATGTGTTGGTTTGCTCAGAGTGAGATTAAAGGGCGCTATCACACTAGGCCCGGTTGGAGGAGGTGTGCTTCGGGGCGGTACAGTTCATGCTCGAGCACAAGCGTGAGTACACAACGTGATCATGAAGTAATCAATCCCCGCCTTCCATTATCAAGAAATCCTGGAGTGTTATGACTAAAAGGACTCAAAATAAGCGACAAACTCAGCAACGTAGCTGTCATGTTCTCTGTGTGGTTCTCCGATGTGCAGCTGCAGACTCGACCATGCGTCCCTTTTTATTTATTTAATATTTTATTTTTGAGTCTACCTGACTTGTAAACTAAGCACGCGTCATGATCACCTAAAGCCATGCATATGTTGCATTATGACGTTATGTACAAGAGGTAACCGTGCTCAGGCCCCGTTAGTCCTGGAGCAGTGTGAGTGCAGGCCAGAGGGAACTTGCAAAAAAAAAGTCAATGTCTTTCTGTGTAGTGAAGTAAGAGTCACATTGTCTAACCTTGTCAAGAGTAGAGGAGAAACAGATACAGGTGTTTTAGATATTTCAATTATGAAGTTGTGTTGTTTTTAAGGAATTGTCCGTCTTATTGATGTGTTTAGTCTGTGGTGATCATCCTGTAGTTATATCAGATCCTAAAGGATGTTTAGTCTCATTGCACAAAGTCTTTCAAAGACTTTTACTGCCTCTTAAACCTTTACAATGAAACTTTGTGTCATTAGAGGACCTTCTATAGATGTGACCTCTCATGAAATAGTCCTGTTCTTACAGCCAATTCTCTCTCTCTGTCTCTCTCTCTCTCTCTCTCTCTCTCTCTCTCTCTTTCCCTCTCTCTCTCTCTCCTCACCACCAGGGCATCATGAACAGAGAGAACAGTACTCGTCTGCCATACATGCAGGTTGAATACATTGATGACATCTGCTACCCACTCTACAAGGTGTGTAACCTCAGCAGTTGTTTCTGTGTAGGTGGATGTAGTCCATATAGTACATGCATGAGGAAAGAAGTTCACCTGGGGCGCTACCCACCTGGACTATTGTAGTAATTATTTTAAACAGTGGCCTGGCTCAGGTCCTGCACCTCTTATAACCTGCATGGCACACAAGCAAGCAGTTAGGAGAACGTGAGCAGGGGAAAGTATTCAGCAGGGAGAATGACGGGGAACCAGACGTGAATTATTGTTGTATACTCACACAGAGATGTAAGACAATAAAGACAGAGATTTATCTCTCACTTAATCTCTTTATTTAGTCAATTGGTTTACATGTATGTGGAAATGTAGAGTTTAAATATCAAGACAATTTACGCCTCCTACACTGTTCTGTTTTTGTTATCTTATAAGTTTGTTGCAAACAACACTGTGTGACACAGATCTTATATAATGGGCACAGCATGCATGCACACTGTGCGATGAGGTACCTGTGAACAGTAGGCTTCAAGTCAAGTCACCACGCAGCGTCATCAATGTGCAGCTGAGGTTGCCATGGCAGTCAGCAGAAAGCGACGTTCATGTTCATAGGAAATCTTATATCATCTTCCCTTTTTGTGTCTTTAAAGTTTTCTACTTCCTCCAGTGTCTTAATGAAGCCTGGTCAATCAGACAGCAATTATTTTTTATCTTTTGTCTAAAGTACTCCAAATATTTCATCGTTGCCCACGGCAACGGAAGGTTCCTAGTCCTCTAACACCTGCACACGGCTTCTTTTAAGGTCCTACTGACTTGTCATCTGCTCTAGTTTTTCATTCTGCTTTAAATCATCACACTCTTTGTCCCTGTTTTCCCTCAGGCTGTGTCAACACTGTTTGACTCCTGCTTCCCACTAATGCTCGGTTGCAAAAAGAACAGAGAAAACTGGCTGCTTCTTGTTAAAGAAGCGGAAGAAGAAAGTGAAAACAGTTTTTGTAGCATTCCTCTGGAAACACATGGAAACGACGTGGGGAAGTTGCAGACTGAGGAGTAGAAGACCGGACAGAAGATTGTTCTTCTTTTGGAAACTTCATCACTAAATACAAACCTGATACCCACACATCAGAGCTTTGTCTGACACTACATGTTATATATGATTTACAATATTCTTGTACAGTAATGTGAGCCATGCTGCATGATGTTTTGGACTTTTCTGAACTCTGTAATGAATGTAAATGTTCAAAATCATAAAGACATGTTTGTGTAGCCACATCCAATCAAACCAGAAGGTAACTTTTTGTGAGTGGCTGTTGTCTGCCCTGGTTTGTCATCAGAGTAGATAAAGAAATAAAGTTTCTTAGATAACTTTTATTTTGAGAGGTATTGATTTCTGTCTCCTGTATTTTTATTCGCATAAATGTAACACCATGCAGTCAAAGGTAGAAACCAAAAACTTTTGAAGGCTGGTCATGGGCGAGCACTGATCTTTGATGATAACTGTTAAAGCCCTGTGGAGGATTTTCTTTATACTGTGCTCATAACACTGAGAGCCATGTGGCCAGGTCAGCGAGTTAATCTGGGAAAATTGTGGATGAGGAATAACACGTGTAAACGCTAGGAACACTGGGAAATAAAATGTATCAACATGGGTACGTATCAGACGTATGAACTGATACAGAAGGGAAGAAACACAGATGCCCTGGGAAATCAGACACAGGTGAGACTAGCAAGGCACCTATGAGGAAAATGAAGGCGATCAATATAAGACATCTACAAATTAAATGTCAGGGCGGTTGTGGCTCGGTTGGTAGAGTCGGTCGTCTCTCAACAGGAAGGTCGGGGGTAGCCACATGTCCGATGTATCCTTTGGCAAGACATTTAACCCCAAGTTGCTCCCGTTGCTTCATCAGCGGAGTATGAATGGATTAGTTACTTCTAATGGTCACTTTACACAGCAGCCTCTACCATCAGAGTGTGAATGTGAAGGTGTGACCTGCGGTGTAAAAACACTTCAAGTAGTCAGAAGAGTAAAAAAGAGATAAACAAGCTCAAGTCCATTAACCATAATCATGGGCGGTTCTAGCCAGGGGCCAACAGGGGCCAGTAAGCCCCTTTAAGACTGATCTTGGTCCTCCCCTGTGGCCACTCCTCCAAAAGGAAGAGCCCTCCTAATAACACACTGGAATTTGACTCAACAACCGGACTCACAATCTAGTATTAAATACTGTTACTGAAACAAATATAAATCATGGTATTTTATGATGTGCGCTATTATTTGGCATGATATATATTATATTTTTTAAGCGATCATCTTTGTCTATTTTTGACCCGGGTTTAATGTTCCCCTCTGACAAAACAACTGGCCCCAGTTTGGCCCCCCTCCATAAAAAGAGTTCTAGAACCGCCACTGACCATAATGCTCTTAAAGTTAGACCAACACATTTAAATTAGAAGTCTCATCAAATGCGACAGAGAAAGTGTCAGATATCTCCCGGAAAGTCTGCATCATTGATAATTGATAGTCAATATAATACACTCATATTGGGTCTGAGAATCTGCAGGTGACCACCCTCGGCCTCTGGGGGGCAGTGATGCGCGTTAAGGGTTGCGCGCTGGCTGTTACCTCCCTGATCATGTTGCGCAGAAGAAGACGCCGTCGGGGAGACAAGAGGAAGAAAATGACAGGGCGCGCAAAAAGAAAACCCAAATCCAGTCAGGTAATTCCGCACTGTTTCCACCTCCTCTTGGTCGGCTGTAGAAAAGCCGCTTTTGAGGCGACATTACGCGGTCCAAAAAAACGTGGCTGAGTGTGGCTGCGGAGGTTTAGCTTCGCATGTTAACGTGACACGCCGCGGGCAGAGGTGTTTGGCACGCTGTCTGAGCTGCGGTGGTCAGACGACAACATGGCAGCAGCAGCAGCAGCAGCTCTGCTGAATGAAACCACAAAGCAGCGTCTCCAGACACGTCCACAACAAGCCACACGTCATGTTTTTAAACACAATATCTCAGAGTTTCTCAGACTTGGCATTGCTGCGTTAATGTCCACACACATGAGCGTGTGTGAGATAATGTTAGTCTGCTGCAGGGAGAAGGTTGTCGGCTGTCTTGCTTTGATTCGTGGTTTCCACAAAGGCAATAAATCAGTGCACAAACAGGTTAACAATAGGAAGCATGTATTGAGCAGGTTTGTTTATCCTTAGCGGCTTGCAAAAAAAAACAGCCGAGCTCTCTTTAACTTTTTCCATTTGCCGAGTGCAAAATAACAGAAACCCAGTGGCGATTCTAGAGTCTGTTTGGGGCCCCAGGCAAGAAATATTGGGGGGGACGGGGGGGCCCTACAACCCGCATTTATCATCCTTATGTCTGCAAGTGTCCCAGCGCTTCATCCTCTGTCTCTATTTTCCTGTTTCTCTTCTATAGTCAGATCATTCTCTTCATTTTCCTTGGTTGACTTTCATTGGTTTTCACAGCAGTAATGCATGCATCATGTAGCAGGGCAACGAGAGTGAGTGCTGTCTGATTGGGGGGGGGGGGCTCTTAGGGAGGTTTCCTACTGTCATTGCAACATTTGCACGTTTTTGGGCCGATGTTGTGGTTCCCGCTGGTCTGGGGCTCCAAGCAGTTACCTGCGACTCTGCAGAAAACAAGTCAAGCTCCAACGTTATCATGAGAAACAGTTTACGTCAACCCTGCACTAAATCCTAAATCCTAAATATATTGACTCTTCTACTCTGTGCACGTCTCTAGTCTATGGTGTGTCCATCTTTTAAAGGTGTTCTCCATGCAGGTGGAAGAACATCCATGCCAGTTTATTTGCAGGTCCTTAGCCGTCTAGAAGATGTTCTGTGTCCCTTTATCTTCTTGATCTTTTTGCCAGTGTAAAATTGTGAGATGATGTTTAGACCCAGGATTCATCTCATGCTCAACATCATTAAATATCCAAGTTCCGAGAAGATGTCCCCCAAGTCGACCTGCCCAGTAGTAGTTTGTAAAATCTGTGTTGGAAAATATGTGACTTGGTGTTTGACAGATATTTTGTCCTGCCACAAATGTCCGTAGGAGTCGGGTACGGGCAACGGGGAGGTGAAAAAAGTCTGCACGGATGAGTCCAAAGAGGTGCCGTTGTCCGAGGTGAATTCAGAGCAGCGCGATGAGGTCATGCAGCTGTACAAGCTGCAGACGCCGGAGGATCTGTACCACTTCTGGGACTTCTGCAAGGAGCTTTGTCCTGACAGCCCTCGTGGTGAGCTGCCTTCACTTACAGTGCATCGTGTCACAGATAAGACAGGAGGGTCCATCTGACTTTGAATCTGTTTTCTGTCTGGTGAGATGGAGAAACAGGATGAGCTGTGACTTAGCCAATAGGAAGTCTGAATAGATGGTCTAAGAGCACAAATGCTCGTTGATTAGACTGTTAGACGCACATTTGATACCTGTTTATTCATCTAAAAAGTTGACTGTTTTAAATGACTTTCACAGACACACACAGAGTATATATTCAGTTGTACTCGTGTACGTTTGTTTGTCTGGGGATTCCAGCATTAATCTATAATCTGTGCTACTCTTCATCTCCATAGGCGCACTGAAAGACACACTTGGTTTGCAGCTGGTCGGTCCTTTTGACGTTCTGGCCGGCGCTCACAAACTCTCAAAGAACCCTCAGCCCAACTTCCACCTTCACTGGAGGTATTTTTACGACCCCCCTGAGTTTCAGACCATCCTTCAGGGGGGCGAGGACAGTAAGCAGCACCTGGGCTATTACAGGTAAGAAACACAAATCTGTGGGTGTCTCTTTGTTGGATCATCGCTGGGCCAGTGATGTTACTATTTCAAAAAGGGTGCAGCTCCAATAAGAGAGAGAGTAGATCTGATTTTTCACTAAATGTGTTCCCCAAACCTCCCAGAGACACTCCGGACTCCATGCCCTCGTTTGTTGGGGAGAACGACGCAAAGAAAGGCTACACGATCACACAGATGGGGGACAACGTGTTTGCTGCTGTCCTGTGAGTACAGCCACCACGTATTCAGGAAGTTATTATAAAGGGCCATGAATGTGCGCTTCCCTGATGTTGACCCCCCCCCTCCCTGTTCTCTCCTTGCAGGTTGTTTCTGTTAAAGAGAAGGAAAGAAAGAGGCGGAAAGAAAGCAACTAGAGATGCTTTGGAAAGCCTGGAGGTGCAGCTGAGAGAGCGGGCAGAGAGGCTGGGCTTGTCTCTGGAGCAGAAGACAAAGAGCATGAAGCAGAGGGACAAGACGGTAACTCAAACTTACACAAAAAATATGCAGGCAACTCCGAAACAACCATCTTGAAACTCTTATATATGTTTCAGTTCCAAATCGTTGCCGACATGTATCAGTCAGGACCACTTTGTCAAGATTCAGATACTTTACTTGCATGTATATATATGAGGCGGTGTGGCTCTGTTCTGGGATCTCCCTGCTCTTCCACTTCCTTACTTGGAAAGCAGTAGACTTTGAACAGCACATATTCCTGCTCTGCCTAAGGCAGGAAGAGAAGCAGCAAAAACCCAAACAAAGCAAGCGTCAATGACAACAGCTTGATGGCATTGTGAGCTAATCTGCTGGCCGTCAGCTGATGAGGGTACCGCATCACCTGCAGTGTTTCTCTACAGAGGAGCTGTAGGGTTAGGGAGGGTAGGGGCCTGAAATAATTCAATGCTCACTGTGCAATTAAGGGCCAGATTTACTAAAGGTTTGCGTGTCTTAAAACGTGTGCAAACTTGATACCACCAGCAAAAAAAGTGCGATCTATCGCGCAGTGAGGATTGCGTCTTTCAAATGAGCAAAACGACACACATTGACCATTTAGTATGTTTGACTTAATGAATATGCAATATGGGACGTTTCTGCCCGAACGTGCAAAATACTGGGAGGAGAAAATGCAAACAAGTTAAGTTAGTACACGCGTTGTGATTTACAAAACCTGGCAAAAAATTGTGGTGATTGTGACGGTGTCTGTATTTAACACTTTTGAAAAGAACGTGCTAACCCAGGAGACCAGTGTTACACACAACAGGCTGCTGTTATTATAGTTAGGAGGAGACATAGGCACAACAAAAGAAGGCATAAAGATGTGTTTACATGTTTCAAATGGCATGCATTTATTTTTTAATTTGATTCAATATCCTGATCGTTAAGGAAGAGAAACACCATGATTAAACTGCAGGCTATTGTTGCCATATAGCCAAAGAAAACTGAACATTCACAGCCTCTAAAGAATTTCAACATTGACATTTATTTCTTCCTATTTCCCTCTTTTCGCCAACATTATATTTTAAAGAGTGTAGAGCGTCCGGTCCACAGAGGAGACAGCTCGCACCTCCTGCTCAATGGATGACACTTCAGATTAA